CATTTCTGTCCCCCTCACTTCTGAAATGATGGCTACGCCCCTGCTAGGTAAAGCTTTTAATTCACTTCTCTGTTTGTTTGAAGTACTTTTATTATAGTTTATAGTCCAATAGAACTAACAAATCAGTAAATTTGATATCTGTATGTGTAAATGGTCCAACTACAGACTACTGAACTACTGTTCTGATATTAGAAATCTGATGCCATATGAGACAAAGCATCCATGTTCCTTTGACAAACATGTGATGTTGTTCACATTGGAAATGACAGCTTGTGTTTGGAATTATTCTCACTTTATTTGTTATGCTGACAATGCATCTCTCTTCTTTCTCGCTCAGCTTGTGAAAATGGAGCCTTTGTCTGCAGCAAACACACAGTTCTCTCTAAAACTGTTCAAGAAGATCAGTGGAGGAAACACGTCAGGAAATGTGTTCTACTCTCCGATCAGCATCTCCTCGGCTCTGGCCATGGTGTCGCTCGGAGCTAAAGAAAACACAGCGGCGCAGATGTTTGAGGTGGTCTCACACAATCTGAAGTTCTGCACCTACTTTAACTGAGAGAGAGTGAAGAGAAAGTGAATAGAGACAGAGGGAGAACAAGACCAGGAAGTGATGCAAGCCTTTTGCACAAAAGATTTTTAACAGCTCACCCAGAAATGAATATTGGTTATTATTTACTCGCATTCACCACACTGTTGCAGCTTGTGCTTTATAATACAAATATGCACTATATTTCCAAGCTGCAGTTATGGTTTAATGTTCAGTGCACATTATTTGTTAAACATTGACTTGTAAGCAGAACATATGTAAAAAATGATTTCATAAACAGGAACTTCATTCTGCTTATCAATGTTTGAGTTCTAGGCATTGAATAAACAAAAAAGCTGCCAGACATTTCCACTTATTTATAGATAATCAATGGCCTGAGAAGAGTTTTTCTGACATCATCCATTCCTTGAAACGTCATTATTTGAAGTGCATTTTAAACTTTCTAAAGGGTATTTAAGAAATGGATTCACATTAGATTTGTGAAGTTATCAGAATAATGAGAT